GGCGACGGCGACGGCGACGGCGACGGCGACGGCGACGGCGACGACGACGACGACGACGCCAGCGCCAGCCGCGGCGGCGGCGGGAGCCTCTGACCGTACCAAGGGCCTCTCAGAACCTGCCCAGGGCCTCCATGGCAGAGACCCCCTGGCCTCCCCAGGCTCCTCTCAGAGCCTCACAGGGCGGTGGGCTGATCGCTCTCCATCGCTCGCGCCGACAGCCTCCCTTGGTGACAGGACCCTCGGGGGGGGGGAATCAGGATGCTGCTGCACCCCGACCTTTGCCTCAGAGACTTCGACCCCGAAGACATGCATTGGCGACAAAACCCGTCGCGCGTCCTGTAGAGGAACAACACGCGGCATGGCAATCAACTTTCTGAGCTCCGCGCGGACCCCTTGGACTGGCGCTGGACAGCCCCCCCTGACGCGGGGAGGGCGCCAGGGGCAGGGCCGCCGCTAGGGGAGCCTCGACGCCGATCCCGAGAGATCCGCCCAGAGCTGCGAAAATGCATGGGTACGCCGTCTTGCCTTCCTCTACAGACTGATGGTGTTGACCATCTCCTATCTCCCAACGATCCTGTGGTGGTGGGCCCCCGCTCTGAAGACAGCGCCGTCGCCTCACCGCCCACCTCCCTCCCCCGTATCTGCCCCCCGCACGTCATTGAATTTCTTAACCCCACATAGAGTTCCAACTACGGCACTAGTGAAGGGGGGACCACACAGGGTCCCCTGACATTTCGGCACACCCCTCACACGCCTCGTGGTCCCATATGAAGCTCCAGCGAAGGCCCCACGGGGGGAGGGGGGGTACTGCATGCGGTCCCCCAGCCAATTCCGGCGCACCCCGCACACGCTCCGTGGACCCATCAGGAGTTCAAACTACGGTCCCAGGGAGGGGGGCCGCATGCGGTCGCCCATGTCACTTCGGAGCACCAATAGGCCGAGTGGCATTGCTCGCATGCGTCCCCAGGCCCACTTCGGCACACCAATCAAACGCTTCGTGGCCCCATAGGGAGCTCCACCGAAGACCCCAGTGGCAATGCCGGCACGCACCTCCAGGTCCATTCCCGCACACCCCTCACACGCTCTGTGGCCCCATTGGGAGTTCACCAAATGCCCCAATTTCAGCGCCCGCATGCGCCCTCAAGGCCCATTCTGGCACACATACACACATACACACACACACACTCTCACACACACACACTCATATTGTTGGGTCCTTCGGCAGGATAAATTCTGGGGGGGCCCTCACCGAGCACCCGTGCCGTCAAGCAACGACTCAGGATGAAAGGCCAGCATGCTTGCGGTCTCTGGAGGCCGACGCTGCGAAGAAAAGCGACATTGGGAGTCTGGGGAAGAGCATAAGGGCCTCCCTCCTGGCCTTCTCATCTGGCCCTCCGTCCCTCCCCTGCCTTCCCTCCTCCCTCGTCCTCCTCCCGCGGCGCAAGTCGTCCTCCCTCCTCCTCCTCCTCCTCCTCCTCCTCCTCCTCCGCC